AGGGAGAGTCCCCCTCCCTACAGGAAGCCACGACCATGTGTCATGGGAGGGAAAATGGCCATGGATCCTGTTTGTCACCCGATCTGGCGTTCGCGAACGGAGGCAAAATTTTGCGAACGGAGTTGTTTGTGACCCGAATTGGTCGTGAACAGAAGCGTTCGAGACCCGAGGTACCACTGTAAGTCACTCTGGAGTAGGAGCCCTTCCCCAAAGGAGCAGGTCCAGAACTCGGAAAGTTCTTTTACACTCATGACTTCGGCTGGATTGCTACATGCAGCCCTACTGGCAGCAGGAAATCCTGGAAGAGTTATCCAGGCCCTTATCACTTCTAGGTTAGACTACTGCAATACGCTCTCCTTGGGGCTGTCTTTTAAGACTCCCTGACAGTAAAAAGCCCACTTGGGGTGCAGCCCCTGGAAAACATCCAATATTGCTATTTGGGGCACTGCATTGGCAGCCAGGGAACTTTTGGTTACAATTTCAAGTGCTGGCCATTACCTTTAAAACTCTACATGATTCTATGTAACATAGATATGGTTAGAACTGACAGAAAAACAATCTGTCCAGCTCATGTAACCAGACAAGGGACACTGAGATTTATTCAGCTAGGAAACTCTTTCTCTCAATATGCTCCATCCTTATGGAATAGCCTTCCCCCAATAGCTTTCACAGAGGAACATTCAATCTGCAATGTTACCAGGAATTACTATGAGAGGGATTTTAATATAATTTTAATGAAACGTTTGTTATTTTATATGGTTTTAATGATTTATACATCACTGAGAGTCCATGTGAAATTGGCAGCACAGAAATACTGTAATAAAATTAGCAACATGGAATAGCCTATTTCTGTCTTGTTCTTGGATCACACCATTCTTTCTAATGTTATATGTTTCCATTATAGCTGCTAATTTGTCATGATCTGTAACAGATACATAACTTTTTGGGGAGGCTACCCTCCAGAAAATGAGTAGGACAAACATGAAATTTTATGTGATTTAAGAAAACCATTAATCTGATTATTCCCCATGTAATTAGTAATTCTACCTTTTTGTCACATTTGTAATTAGAATTCAGTGTTAAGTTCGGGAGCACCTGGGAACATTGGAAGCTTACAGGCTGAGAATTTAAATTAAGATAAAATCTGAATTGCTAGAAGTCTAAATGTTTTAGATATGCATAATATTAGTACTAAAATACATGTTATAAAACAACATAATGCTAATGGTTTGGACTATAAAACATCCCTAAACAGTCCCATTTTATTTTGTGAACACTTTTCACTGACCTAACTTGGCTCCTTTTCGAAGCAGGGTGACCACGACTGATGTATTTCGACATCCGATGGCTCTGTCCAGTGGGCGCATTCCACTATTATCAACATGTTCAATTACTGCCCCCTTCTCTACTAAATACTGCACCTGTACACGATAAAAATGCAATGAAACAAAGCTTTTAAAAAAGCAACATCACTTTGTGTCCTCAAGCTGAAATAATACAATCTGGAACAGTTCAACTTCATTCATTTGTTCTCTACGTCAATTTTCTAGTAACGCCTGGTTTCAGATTACCGATCAATAAAGTGCTTCACAGCTGTTTTTCCAGGAAGCACAATCTTTAAAGAGATGTTTAATTAATATTCCTGAATGCAACCCATCAAGCTTCAGCAAACCTTTGGTACAACTTGGTCTATAAAAAAATGTATTTTCTACACGCAGACGTTGTATTTAAAAACCATCAGGTCCTTAACCGTTTACATAATGAATATCCAGACTTTAACCATAAAATATTCGAAGTTTTTTTTTTTAAAGACCATTTTATACTTGTGCAGCTAGGCTGGTATTCAACAGAATCTAAGTTACAGGCATCCATGTTATATGAAATTGTACAATCTACAAATATATAAAATACAAACTGCACAAATTAACATGGAAGTTATACTTAAGCACCTCTCTTGAAGCATCTCTTTGCATCTCATCTACTGAAATCACAATAAACAATACAATTCTGAAGTTAGGCAGTAGGAAAAAAAACAGTTTATTTCTTTATTTTTTCAGTATTTTGATCTGATGATGTGACGCAGCATTAAAAGTATTTGACAGAATCAACTGAGCATCAAAATATATGCATTTCTAAAGTACTCAACACTAAATAACAGTTACATTTTCCAAAAAAACCTGTTAAATGTCTTTCTTGCACCTACAAAAAAACCAGCTTGAATTTGCTTAAATGGTATTCAAATTGGTGAGATACTGGTAGTTTCACCTGATTTCAGGTAGTGAGTGAAATTTACAGAAAAGATAAAATGCGTCCTGGCTTACAATATCTGAGTCTCCATAGAATGCTGCTAGATCCAAAGGTGTTCTTCCATTCTTGTCCGTTTGGCCTATTTTGGCATCTTTTTCAACCAAATATTGGACCACATTCTTATGTCCTTTGAGGCAAGCCCAGCTCAATGCTGTCAGGCCTTCCTTGTCCAGTAATGAAATGTCAGCACCTACATGCAAACAAGAAGTGTATTTTTGAGGGAGAAAACCTTTTTTAAAAAATTAAGCTAACATTCAAATATCGTATTTTTCATTTAACTGCTTATTGATTTTTCCCTTGAAGGTTCATGACACATACTATTTAATTTCAATCTCCAGTTTTGATTTTGGCATGAGCTCATAAAAGTCAGTCTACATCTAGAAATACAGAGATAGTAAATACTATCTATCTTAGAATACCTGGAAAAATAAGGCCATTTGAAAAAAATAGATTTGGAAGAATTATTCACTGTACCTTTAGAGATTAGAAATTCAACAGTGCTCAGATGTCCTTCACAAGATGCCACCATGAGTGGTGTCCTGCTTTGCTTGTCACTTAAATTTATATCAGCACCATGTTCCAATAGAAGCTTTGCTATCTGAAAAAAATGAGAAAATCCTCATTAGAACATTGCAAAATCACAATGTTTGAAAAAAACAAAAGATGTCCTTCACATGACTATCTGAACCTAGATAAATTCTGGCCAGTTGACTATGAAACAAATTTCAAACCAGAAAATATGAGGCTGGGTTTTTTTTCAAGTCACCGTAGTGAAGATAATCCAGAGATTTAGTAGCAAGTTACTGAGGTTAATTGAAATGAAAAGTAAACACTTCTACTGTCTCCCTAAAGTTATAATGGAAATGTGGAGTTCCTCCTAACCATACCAGACCAGAGGGTAGTGGACAGTTTCCAGAAGTAAAGATATGAACCAAAAGTGGTTTGAGATGTCCCAGAAATAACATTCTGGACAAAGCAGACCCATGTTGGGACAAGTCCACTTCAAGGATACACATCAAAGGATTTATTACCAGAAACTACCAGTCCGGGAACTCTTGGCCTGAAGGGAGAATGGTACCTTCCACAGTTCTCTGGAACTTTCCAAATCAATGAGTTTTACGCATTTGTAGTTATATCTATACAGAGCCATTGTTTTCATTATTAAATTCATCAGATTTCCTTTTGGTTTCCAAAATGGCTACTTCGAGTTGATATTATGGACATTCCTCCCTTCATTCTGTGAATTAAGCTAAGACTGATCGTTTTATGCATAAAGTCCCACCTGCCAGTGTCCCTGACGCACAGCACAGAAAAGTGGGGGTATCCCTCTCCTGTTAGGTCTTGTGACTAGAGCACCATGTTCGAGTAGCAGCTCACATGCTTCCAGTTTTCCCCTCCCGGCAGCAGCGGTCAAAGCTAAAAATTAAAAAAGAAAGGAAGGAAGGAAGGAAGGAAGGAAGGAAGGAAGGAAGGAAGGAAGGAAGGAAGGA